TTTTAATTTCTGCTAAAAATATTATAAATTTTTTTTAACCTTTTGAAGAGTCTCTCTTTTTTTTTAATATATCAGAAAAGTCGCGAGGATTATTTTGTAGAAGTTACACGAGTATCTTATTTCTGCAAAAAGAACACCAGTGTCCTGTATATATTATGGGTCAAATTATGTTCTTTTTTCTAATGTTATTACAGACTTTAGGGTCAAGTTATATTAAACTTTAATTCTGGCTGGTCAAATCATATAACGAACAGTAATAGTAATTTTTGTTACTGTCTACGAAGTTTGCGGGGATCTCCAATGCATATGTCTAACCTGATACGTACAGGTTGGATGTAATGACTATCTTATACCAAAAAGGGATGTAGGTGGTTTTAACAAGTCATCTGTTCACTTTTGTCTATACCCATTTAGCGTTGTACAAACATCATAATCTTTCCCACAATATTTTTACACTTGTACTTGTCATATATTCCAAAAAAACAAAATAAAACAGTAATGATAAATTCAACTTGGGAACAAATACGTCGAGAAGTTAGAAATTATCGTAGTTCAATACAACCTTCAAATGTTGTCAACATTAAAGACTTTTGTTTTGATGAGGAAAGTAATCGCGCATATTTCTTGGCTACAGATTCTTCATGGATGAAAACATCAACATTATTTGTGGTTGATTTGCCATCTTTGAAAGAACACGAGTGTAAAAAAAAGCTTATGGAAAATAACGACGACAACGACGACAACGACAACAACGACAACAACGACAACAACGACAACAACGACAACAATAATGATGAAATATGTTCCAAAGTTCATAATCAATTTTCTTTTAGCTTTTCAAACAATGAATTTCAGGTTAAAGGTAAGTGAAAGTTTGTATCAATTGATTAAGGTATTTTTTTTTTCCAAAAAAAAATAATATAATATTATCAATATTTTATATTTAGTTTTGTTATACTTAGCGAACTGTTTTTGGTGGGATTTACTTTTTTTATTTTTATTTATTTATTTCCCAGTTCCATAGATATTTAGACTCTTTTTTAAAATATTTATTTGTAATTTTTTAATGTAAACAGAAATTTATACATACACGCGTGAACGTATACATATATATTTATATTACATGATTATTTAATTGGTCTAAATCATATTTTATATATTTTGTTGCAGACTTTCCTTTTACCTTTCCACAATCTATTTCATGCGATAAATCAATAACAACTACAATACCAACAAATTCTGACCACATATATATTTCAAATTTGAAATCAAATAAAAAACAGGCATTAAAAAATTCATCAACAACAATTTTATCAAATAAGTTACCAGTTGTTCATTGGAGACCTTTATTGTCAGAATTATGGTTAAAAGAAAAATCCTTTTCTGAAACATTATCGAGAGAAGAATTGTTTGTGAAGGAACGAAGGAGGCTAGCCTTACAAGGAATTGCTAGCTATCAATTCGATCCAATCGGTTGTCAAATTCTTTTCAGTTATGGCAGTGGAATATATTTAGGACATATTGGCGAGGTGATTTGTTGATTTATAAAAAAAGCTTTATTAATCATTTGAAAAATTAGTGATATTAATTGCATAACAAATTTTATATAGAATGGTGAATTTAATCCCATACCAATAACGCCTCGTTCTAGCTCTATAATATTTTCTGGAAATTCAATGAACTTTTCCCAAATTAGTCACTCACCACATCACAACAATTTATCACCAATCACTTCTCCTTCAACAACCTCTTCTTCCTCCTCTTCACCGCCACCACCTCTCCCTTCTTTCTGTACCTCCCCCAACAATAATAATAATAACTTATTACCGCCACGATTAGACCCAAAACTGGGTGGTCAAAATCAAAATCTCGTTGCATTCATTAGAGATCGTGATATATGGGTTAGTACAATGAATGGCTGCGAAACACAATTAACATTTTGTAATGATCATGATCCAGATGGTAATTCTGCACTAAGTTGTGGAGTTGCAGAATTTGTGATGCAAGTACGGAATTATTTCAATTGATATCTATTATTTGTCATTATTATTATTTAAGTATTGTATTTCTGTTGGAATTGGAGGTGAAATTTCTGGTTGTATTTTTTTTGCAGGCACTACATGTTGCTGTTTGATCTTCAGTGGATTTGGATTTACAACAAGTCTTCAGATTTTGGTAGGCTTGAGTTAAATGGTGCTTAAAGTTTTCTCTTCATTGAGTCCAATTTGTCTTTTGAAGGTAAAGTAATTGACCACAATAAGAACATCGAACATAAAGATGTTGATACAATATGTAGAAATCAAATTTTTGTTTAATAGATTTAAATTTTTCTGATGCTGTCCACATAGAGTTTGTTTCAGAGACATTTTGAGAAAGGACAGAATTTGTGGTAGTGGTTATATCAATCAATATTGTCTGTAGAAAGGGTGTTAAGTTGAAAAAAACTTTCAAATGGTCCTAATTCTAAAAATCTGATGCACATGAAAAGACATAATAACAACTCCCAAGAGGTAAAATGATTTTAATTACTTTTGTTAAACCGCACATATATATTTATTTATTAAATCACATCTTTATATTTATTTATATTATGTATCACATTATTTTGTCATAAAAAGAAAATATAACAACAATTTGAAAAAAAAATATATAAAAATAAAAAATGTTGATTATTTATCAGCTACACTTTCATCTTGTGGTTGTGTTTTCTTCATTATTATTTAAGTTGTTTATATTACTCATTGAAATTTGTACTAATTTCAGGATTTTATTATTTGTTGGTACATACTCATTGTTTGAAGAATTCCTAGTTCTTTTTGAATTTTTGTCACTACTAGCCCAAGCATAGTTTGTATTTTTTTTTTTTTTGATTGGATATTGTAGATGTAGTAATAGCAATAATTGTTAATTGAGTAGCATGCAAAAGCAACCAGACCTTGTTCTGATAATTCAAGATTGCCAGCAACAAATATCTCACTTCCATGAGTGGTGAAATTTGCTACTTTTATGAGGTTCCCTTCAATCAAGTAAACATAGGTGTTAAAATTCATTGTTTTTGTATTTGAGTCCATGTATTCATTTGCAGTAATTGTGATGTCGATTTTATTTTCTTTGCTGTTTGGGTTAACATGCCATCAAAATCCCAAATGTACAAGTGAATTTGGGCTAGCCTGTCAAAGAATTCCTAAATCCCAAACTATTTTGTACACCCATAACATTCTGTCTCCCAACCAATAAGCGCCTAGGACTTGTGAAAGTGATCAGCCACTTTTTTGTTACACTGTATGCTTATTGGTTAGGAAAGCAGGCAGAAAGATTGATCTACATTTGGTATTTGGGGTTCTTAATTTGGGCAGCACCCATAGTTTGGTTATCTGTCACAGTTGCCATTAATGAAATGAAAAAGTCTACCTTAGCAAATTTTGTGGTTCAATCAGTAAAACATTAACATTTGTTAACAATACCTAAACATTGTTTTTTTTTAGTTTGCCAACACAATAGCCAAACGTTTATATCACTGTTTGTTCTATATTACAAAAAGTCATCTTGATATAATGTACAGAGCCTTTATTCAAAATTGTGAATTTGCCAGATATCCTAACAACATCACCATTTGAAAACCTTTCCAATGATGTTGATACTGAAGAATCTTTTGGGTAAAGACCTACCAGTTGGTATGGTACTTCATCATTCAGATATGTAGGTCTACCAATTCCAATGGCTTCTACTAAAAAATAATTCTTTGCTGATGATTCTGAATGATCAATTATGTATACTATAGTACATATGATGTAAATTATTCAGGTAATTAATTATGATGTTGTGAAAAAAGCAATTTGAGTTAATATCATTGCTATATGTAACACCTTATGTAGAAATTTTTTTGCTTAGAAACTATTGCTTAACAAAATTCCGAGATAACCTTCCATTAATATTAATATTAAAGTTTAAAAACAATAGTAAATGCAGATCTTTTTTAAATCTTTATGTGTAACATTGTTTCAGTTATATACATTTGGGGTCTGTACTAGGAAAATCGACCTTCCAGCTGATTTTTTTTTTTTTTTGAGTAATTGTTGATCAAAAATTTGACCAATAAAAATTTATTACTATTTTTAGATTTTGATGTGCTCAAAAATTTTTATTAAAAAAATTCCGTTATATA